ATTTAAGCCAAAATTTCTTGCATAAACTTTTGTGGAGAGAAAGAATGTGACTTCTTAACAAATTTCAAAGGGATCTGTGATGAAATAGTAGGTTAGGAACTATTCATTTTCTTAATTGGCATGTGAAAATGTATTCTAACTGTACTTGGCTTTTAGAATATACAATAATAGCTAACCAAGTTTTTCTCTTTCCCCCTCAAATTTCTAAATACCCCTTAAAGTGTTTTGGGTTTTATTATTTTTTTTGCATAGATACTTATCACATTAAATGAGCAATTCATGCATTTATGACTGGAGATTAAATTAAAACATATTATGTCAATCAGTACTTCAACTTGGGGTGTGTTTGAGTATTTCTGCTAACTATTTTAAAAGTCATTTTAGTTATAAAGTCTGTCCTCCTCCACAAGGCAATTTCAAAATAAATAAATAAATAAATARATAGATAAATATAAATAAGTCAAACAAACACGAGTGTTAAAGCAGCAATGGATATACTTCAAAAATAAAATGTAAAAATGACTTTCTCTAAATGATGCACAGCTATGTTTGATCAATGAGAATCTCAGTTTTGCCGTTTGTATGCATGGGAACACTGAATCTGAACGTTAGAGCTGGTTCTCAAACCTTGAGAAATGGAGCCTTAGAAGGAAGATGGTCTACAACTTTGCAGACCCCTAGGATATTGGCCCCCAGGACTCAAAGTTGAAGTAGAATCATCTTCTCTTCTTGGATCTGGATGAAGGCAGAGGAGGAAACAGACTCTATCTTTAGAACAGGGGTTTTAAATTTGGCGGCACATTAGAAACAACACTCAGGCCAGGCCCAGACCCATTAAATCAGAATGGCTGGGGCTAGTTTCAGGAATTGGTATTTTGTCAAAAGTCGTAGGTGCTCCCCATGTGTTGCCAGCCAAGGTTGAGAACCATGACTCAAGCAATATATAAATAAGTATTTTAAGACTGATTTTATACAAAGCTCTTTGTTTTTGTTTTGTTTTGTTTTTCCCACATTTTTTTTATTGGTGCATTATAGTTGTATATACTGATGGGATTTGCTGTTCTGTATTGGTCCATACACACAATTCACAATATCACAATAGAATTTGGCCAATATCACTCCCCAGCACTTTCCCCTTCCCTCACCATCTCCTATCTCCTTGTTTCTTTCCTCTACTCATCTCCCTTTGACTTGCATGAGATCCATCTCCATCTTTCTTTACCTGTTTCCTGTCTAGTTTCTGCATATATGAGAAAACATATGACACTTAACCTTAGGAATTTGACTCACTTAACATAATGGTCCCCAGTTCCATCTATTTTTCCTGCAAATAACATAATTTCATTTTTCTTTGTGGCCGAATAAAACTCCATTGTGTATGTGTGTGTATATATATACACACACACGTACCACATTTTCCTTACCCATTCATCCACTGATGGACACCTAGGCTGGTTCCATAGTTTGGCTATTATGAATTGTGCTGCTATAAACATGGGTATGCATATATCACAGTAGTAAGATGACTTACTTTTTTTTTTTCAGGGTAATTATTGAGAAGTGGTATACCTGGATCATATGGTGTTCCCATGTGTAGTGTTTTGAGAAAAATCCACACTGATTTCCACAGTGTTTATACTAATTTACAATCTCATCAATAGTTTGTACCAGGCTCTTTGTTTCAGAATGCTTTAAAGGCTGCCCCATGTCCTGTGTGTACATCATCACAGCTCAGAACATTAACAGATGACCACCAGAACCTCTGTTTATTGAGACAGAGTTAATAAAAATAAAAGGAGGCTAAATGCAATTGAATCCTAGAACAATAAAAGAAATTCATGGAAAAACTGGTAAATCTGAATATCTGTGTTTTATTAACAATATTTAACTCCTTAGCTTTGATAGGTTAAACAAGTAACATGATTGAAAAGATGCCAACACACGGGAAAAGTGGGTGGAGGGTATACAGGAATGTCCTGTACTACATTTTGCAACTCTTCTATAAGACTAATTATTTCAAAGTAAAAAATACAAAATCATAGTAAAAAAGAGAAGGTAGAGCTAGTATTAATTAATGCTGAAAATTGCTGATTCCTAACATCACTAAACATTTATGGTTATAAAGTCTTTCACCATGTACTCAGACACTTCGTTAATGAATATAACTTGTGGGGTGAGAGAAGCTTAAAGGAACTTCCAATTTCCTGTCTGTGTTCTGTTTTATGCATCTTTTCTCAGGTCCCATCCCTTCTATAAAACGTCATCAAGAGCAGTTAATATTGAAAGAATCACTGACAATATTTGGTCAGAGTCACATATTCCACTAGAAATCCTACTCTGAGGAATGAAAATGCTGCAGCTAATGCTATCTTGCATTTGTTCAGTATTTTACAGTTTGCAAGCCCTTTCCAAGTGTTAACATTGCTTGATTTGCATGAGAACATGGCAAATACATGAGGCACACCACAGCTGTCACAAAGGACCACACATCTGTTGCATTTTATTATGAAAACAGAGTGTAGTCTGCTCATAAATCACACATGCACACACACGCATACACACCTCATGGTCCACATGCACAGTCTGAAAACAGCATTAAAAGATCTCATGTTAGCCTTGTGTGGCACGTAGAGGGCGGGCTGGGGACATACTCTCAGACTAGCCTTTCCTGACATAGGCATCGCCAGCCCAGACCAGGTCACACAAACAGGCACAATTTTGTGGGGGCAGGTTTGTTCTTCTCTTTCCTACCAGGAAAAGGGGAAAAGTTCACATCAACAAAGAGGCCCCAGAGGGGTGTGTGGGCCGATGCATTGTCAGGCATGATGGACTGTGCCTGAGTCAGGGCTGTCCCCCGGACCCATGGGTTCCGTCTCCCTGTGCCAGCCCCTCAGAGGTGCTGCTTCTCCATTTCCTCTGGGCTTCTTGACACTTGCCCTTTCTCCTCTAGTGCATCAGGCGACCCTGTTAGTTCCTGTTTAGGAACCATCTGCCAGCTCGGCCTCTTTCCAGCTGATCCTCTGTGGGCTGCCTGTGGCCACTCTTGCCATTGCTGGAGTGGCCCACTCAGATTTGGTGGCATGGTATATAGGTGGCTGCATCTTCTCTAGACTCTGCCGGAAGGATGGCTTCCACCCTCTGCCAGCTATGCACTAGAGGGAGTGCAAGCCTTTTCTCAAGCCTGGCCTACACACATGCGTGTGTGCGCGCGCACACACACACACACACACACACACACTCAGGGCTAACACAGACAACTAGGAGAGCTCAGCTTCAGAGTCCACAGGGTCAGCTAGATGGTCAAGGGGACTTGGCAACATGCATCTCCTGTCTATGATATGTGGCTTTTGTGCTCTTGTCTCTGCTGGAAGAAAAAAGAGTGACATTCCACTTTCCAGCTGATGCTATTGGGGCAGTGGTCTGAAACATTCAGCTGACCACTTCTAACTCTTTGGCCAAGAGCACATGCTCATTCTTTGATTCTTATTGACTCTAAAGGTTAGTCTGATTGGGACTTATCTAGAGTTCGTGGAATCTTTGAGTAAACTTACTTGGGAAATGGGAACAATGGGGATATGATTAATTGAAATTTAGGATTTCCTTCTAATCAGTGAACAGTATGAAAAGCAATTTAAGGGGCTTAACGTGATTCTCAAGAGAAACGGGAGAAAACATTTGCATTTGTGAAAGTAATTGTTTTAGAGGTGTAGTTGCTTAAAAGCATATATTCTAGTTTTTTTTTTTTTTTCCTTTTTTAATTACCTGTTGGCTGCTCTTTTGCACAGGACTTGCTTTCTCACAGCTGCGCTTACTTGGCCAGGGCATTTCCTCTAGACTAGGGCTACCTTCCTTCCTGACTCATTCCCTATAGGCTCCAGGATTAGGGGTGGTCTTTGTTCCTTTTGTGAGGAAGATGTGGCTTTGCTCCTGTTCCAAACACACTATTGCCCCAAATATCACTAATTTATAGGGATATACATTCTAGTTTGCTCAATATGGCCCCAATTTGCATTCCTTTTTATTCCCAGTGTCTGAACTTGGATAATAAATCATATGGTTATCTTGTCCACCTGCGGGTCCCTGAGGCTTCATGCATCCCCATGCAGAGGAGTATGGTCACCTCTTGATTAGCCAATGTAGACCCACCAGTTCTTGTTTCAGAACCAGTCCTGGGGCCTGGGCCCTCTGTAAAGTCTTGTCCAGCCACTATCCTTACCCTGATGTGGGCATCGTGGGGAATCATCCTCATAATTTAAAGATGCAGATGAGTGTGCATGTATGTATACTTGGATACAAACAGAGGAAAGAGAACTATGAAACACCTGCTTAGAATAAAAATAACATTTTTTTGTGTGTGTGTGTGGGAATTCAGGCAAGTGTCCACTGCACTCTTTAAACAGTACACTGAGAAGAAGATTGAAATTTTAGTAAAGTTATTCCTTCCTTAGATTGCAAAACACCACTTCACGGAGCCAAACTGAAAGACTGTTGAAAGCAAATGTTCTTTTCATCCGATGAGTGATCTGAATTTTTAATTTTTATATTCTGTTTCAGCTCAGTGAAACTGCTCAGATATTCTTCCTTTTGAATTTATCATCATATTTACTTCCTGTTATTTTTATTCCAATACAAGAGAGAAATGTTTAATTTCCAAAAGTTTTCACTTAACTTTCATGAAAACCATACAGATATACTTTTTTAAAAGTAAGCTTTTTTTTTTTTTTTTTTTAAAGTAAACATTTTGGTCTGAACACAAACCTGCTTAATTATAAGATCGAGTTGACCTAATAACTTGGTAATATTGGCACCACCCTAATTATATTCCTTGACTGTTCCTGGCACGATCACAAGGCTTTTGAAATTCAGATGATGAACTTGGGTTGACCCCAGACCATGGGACCCAAGCATCTTGCCTCTGATTTCACTGCTCGCCGCTGGGGCTGGCAATGTCAGGTTCTGCCCCTTTCCTCTGGGTTGTGGGGGCTCAGGGCGGCACTTACGTCTCATCCGTGAATGCTATCCCAAAGTATTCCTTCTCCTTCAGGTTGAAGTGAGATGCCACGAGGTCAAGAAGCTCCTTGGCCAAAAGCTTGGGCTGGGGGGAAGAATACAAAAGGAAAAGGGTTAAGTGACCCAGGACGAGACGACTTTTCCTAAAGCATACAACCTCAGATTTCTAACATTCATTTTCAACAGCATGTCTCAAAGCTCAAGCCCTGTAAATAAATGCGAATGGTCTTTACAAAACCCAAAGGAAGAGACAATGAGGATTCTGTTGAGCAGACAGCTAAATGAAGGGTCCTCATGAGATGGAGATTCTGTCCTGTTTCCTAGTAGTTTTGTGCTATTGACGAATAGCAATTGTGTTTTGGCTGGATTGTCAAACCTAGTGACTTGCCTTCCCCACATTTTATGCTGAACTGGTAGGAAGATGCTTTATTAGAAAAAAGTATTATATTTAACAAACATTTATCTACAGATGCCTCTTTACTTATGGTGAGGTTACTTTCTAATAAACCCATCATAAGTGGAAAATATTAAGTCAGAAATACATTTACAACACCTACCCTATTAAGCATCAGAGCTCAGCAACACAGCGCACTGTGAGCGCTGGAGATTGTTCCCCCCATGATCATGTGGCTGACTGGGAGCTGCCACTGCCCAGTGACCTGAGAGGGGACCTCATCTCACCAGCCTGGGGAAAAAGATCCAAATTCAAAATTCAAAGTGCGGTTTCTGCTGAATGCATATTGCTTTCGTACCATTGTGAAGTCCCCGAATCACAAATTGAGTCATCCTAAGTCAGACTGTCTGCACTTGCTAGGTGGCAGGCACTATTCTAAGCACTGTAGAATTACCAGTGGCTTCAATCCTCACCACAGCCTGTGACATCATCCATCGCACACAGAGAAAATGGCCCCCAGAGATTAAGTCAGGATGTTTGTCTCTTTGCTGCCTTCCTCCACCACCCTCAATGGCCATCAGTTCGCCAGTGAAAACCATTGAACTGATCAGTGTGGGTTTGAAGCTCTGGTGGTKCTTCCTTCCCAGAAGACAGAAATCAGCAGGAGAATCCATCCTGATAAATCAACACCCGTTAGTATTTAATACTTCTGTTCCCTCTCCATTTTGGAAAAGTGAAAGAGCAATCTCTGAACCAATAGGGAATTAAAGGTTTTACGTCAGGCCCTCCTTTATTTATAGAAAAAATCCTCTCCTGGGGGAATACAGAGGGACATGCATGGCACATCTCAGAATATCACTGATGAATTACAAAGTAAATGCAAGATGGGAACTCTTGAAGCTTCCAACAAACGCTGTGTGCTGTGGGCTGCTGCTGACTCTGCTGCCAACATTGTTCGCTCCCAGAAGGTGTTTGGTTGCCCAGTTTCAAAGCATTTAATATTTCAGTTGTGAGCCAGGCTTGGTGGCACACGTCTGTAATCCCAGCTGCTCAGGGGACTGAGGCAGGAAGATTGCAAGTTCAAAGCCAGCTTCAGCAATTTAGCGAGACCCTAAGCAATTTAGCGAGACCCTAAGCAATTTAGCAAGTTCCTGTCTCAAAATAAAAATAAAAAAGGGCTAGGAATGTGGCTCAGTGGTTGAGCGCCCCTGGGCTCAATGCCCAGTAACTGAGGCAGTGTGGCTGCTTTTAAAATGGTGGAACCAGATGGACATCATTACCCTAGGTACATGTGTGACTGCACACGCGGTGCAACGCTACATGGTAGACAACCAGAGAAATGAAAGGTCGTGCTGCAATTGTGTGCAATGAATCAAAATGCATTCTGCTGTCATATATACCTAACTCATATTAATTAAATAATTAATTAATTAAAAATTGCAATGTACTACGATTTATATGTCCAAGTCATTGTCGTCCCTTTCAAGGGAGTCACAGCATGTGCATGGTGGCTGCTCTTTCTTGCTAAGGGACAGAGCCAAACACAAAAAGACAAAGATTGTATATTGTCTCATTCCACTTATAGGAAGTAACTAAAATAGGCAATTTCACAGAAGTTACCTGGGGCTGGTGGAGGAGAGGATGAGGAGTTATTGCTTAATGGTTGCAGAATTTCTGTTTGACATGACAACAAATTTTAGAAATACTGGTTATTATTACATAAAATTATGAATGTATTCAATGCCCCTGAATTGCATACCTGAAAAGTGGTTAAAATGGTAAATTTTATTATATATATTTTACCTTCTTCTGCCCAATCCCCCAGAAAAAGATAGAAAATAATCAGAAATCAAGCTCTGGCTGGCCTCAAAACATGGGTAAGTTCCCTCTGCTATTCTGCTGACCTCACTACTTCCTGGGTGAGAGGTCAAGAATCATGTTCCCTGAGGGTCTTGTCTGAATGAAGGTGATACTTCTCAGTTGAAACCAATACACTGATATCACGAATTTATACATTTGGTTAATGGGAGTCTTGCCCTGGGAGTGTGAAAGTCAGATTTCTGAGCCTACAAAGTTAAAGAGATGACTCAAGACACTGAAGAAGCCACTAGAGGGATGAACGCCACCTTGGGAGCCTTGTGAAGAGTGACTTGTGGCCTCTGCATGGTGACATGTCCTTCTGATTCTGCTTGTTGCCACAATCCTTTTTATATTGAAACTTCTAAAAGAAAAAAAAAAGCTTTTCTGGTGACATATAAATGGAAGGCAAGTATAAGACGCTGAGCTATAGTGGCATCATGGATAAACTTCATGCTTCAAATGAACTCTTTTTCAAGGGTCTTACCTATGTGGTTGGGTGTTTGGATGGGTATCTTTTATTTAAAAAATGTAAAAAGGCCAGTCTCCTTACTGTGTTTAACAGTTATTATAGATCAGATGTACCACTCTTAAGGAAGAAAGATTTACCTTTGTCACCCATAATTTATAGATGGAGAAATTAAGGCAGGGAAGTGGAGGTTACAACTCCCAGGTTTTTACTCCTGATAAAAGCCACGGGCTATTTTCCATCGTGACTGGCAGCAACCCAGATGGTGGATGCTCCCACGAGTGAGAGTAAGGGCTGCCCCTGACACTGGAAGGGCGAGTAGTGTGGGAAGCAAACTCACTGTTAAAGCCACGGAGACTTCAGGGGTCATTCGTCATTGCAGCATGACCTTGCCCATCCTGATTGACTCAGGAACTGAATCTCTCAGTCTCTGTAAGGCTGGTCAAACCTCTCGAACATCAGCATCTTGATTTCCTGATCTTGCAAGAGACGATGTCACCACCTTGACATGATGGTGATTAAYGAACTACATCTTTCTGAAAGTTCCTTGAACTCATTTAGAGCAAGTTGCTGGGTAGGCAGAAAGCTCTCTGCTATTATGTACTTTGAAGGGATGTTTACAGAATCCTGCTGATTATAATTGCTAATTACTCGTCCTATAAACATTTGTGGGGCTTTGCAGGATTCAGGCTGGGAGCGAGGCCAGAAAAAGGCAGCCTGTAGCCCCACTGAGTTGTGCAGGACACACTGGGCAGAGGCCTAACCACCCCCGTGAGCAAGGCAAGCCCTGCATGTCGTGGGTACATTAGAAACAGCCTCCTCTGGGTCCTCATTGTCCTGGGCCTGTGAGGTCCATGTGTTTAAGACTGACTTGCTCTCAGCCCTTAATTAATGTTATTCAAACTCATTTGATTCTCTCTTTTCCTTTTTCTATCTCAAATTCTTTTGCCTTTGTCCTTCTAGGCTAGTGTTTCTTCTGGMAAATGAAATCTTACAAATGTCCCCTTCAATATGCTAACTGGATGGCCTAACCAATGCTCCATGAGCTTGGTGACCTGCGTTCCCGCCACGGGATGTAGGGAGGAAAGCAGAGCAGCTGATTGTCTTTGCTGTTTTGACTCCACCACCAGATCTGAGTTCCAAGGCCTCTCTGCCTGGCTCCGTCTGGAAACTGTGCATTTACCTAGCATATTCCAGTATTTTGGATTAGGCCCSGCCTACTTCTTCTAGGTGAGACACAGACAACTGTTATGCTCAAAACCACACCGCACATGTGTGTGACAGGTACTGTCTACATGACCGTGATCCTTCCAGGTGACGGATAAGAGGTGGCACCCCAGCACCTCCCAATTCTTCGCTGAATATATTTGCTACCTGATATTACTCCACCACTTCAAACTCGACAGGTGTACATCTAGGTAGATGATCTCAAACAAACTATATAACCTCTCTGGGCCTCGGTTTTCTCATCTGTAAAATGATCAACTAGAATCAAGGGGATAGATATTCTAAAATATTATTCTTCTTTATGTTCTTATTAAGTTTATAACTTCTTTCCCTAAAAACTCCCTAGCCTATTCAAAGATTTTATTCACTCATCCTAAAAACCTTAAAACCACCTGATTCCTCCCTGATTTCTTAACTCCAGTCTGTTGACATGGCTGGCCTTTCTTAGTTATCTAGGGTAAGTAACTGAACCTCCCGAGCTTCAGTTTCCCTTGTGGCAAAATGGTGATAATGACTACGCCCATGTCTACGTGTGGCCGTGAGGATGAGTGAACCCCCATAAATGAGCGAGTAAGGATTTATACAAAGTGCTGAGAACAGCTGGGCCCTAAGTGCCATTACATGTCTTTTTATAAAAGACTGAAGGAGGGACTTTCGACACAGCCACACCAAGAAGACCCAGGCAGACAGAGGTGGAGACTGGGGAGATGGAGACACAGGTGGAGGAACATGCCAGCAGCCGCTGGAAGCTGAAAGAGGCCTGAGATGAGGGCCTTCTCCAGCAAGCCTACAGGACTGCCAGAGAATACCTTCCTGACACTTTCAGCCACCGAGTGTGGGGGTTATTTGTTATGGAAGCCACGGAAAATCATATGCATCCTCAGATTAAGACCCCAAAGATTTTATAGTCTCTATTCCCAGACAGTTACTAAGAGTAGGAAACTCAGTACTGGCTGGGCATTTGCCACACGAGTGACTTCCAAGCACCCTCCTGGCACAAGTGCTCTTCCTTGCCAGTGCCCAGGCCACCCTGGGCAGGAGGCAGGGCAGGCAGCCTTGGTCTCAGAGCCAAGCCTGGGCCAGGGGTTAAACGGGTTCCACTCAGTGAGAGCGATTCCCCCTTCGAGCCTCTTCTTGT